GTCACAAAGAATCTGTAATTGATAACGCCATAATTGGAGGATCACAAGACATTGATTTCAAAGTGGGCAGTGAGTGAAACTAGTCAGCTAGTCATCCAACCATAAAGACAGATTACACTGCCAAATCAGAGACACCATTCCACTCCATCAAGTCAAAAGATTGCGCCGTGCAATGCAATCTCTCGGATACATGCGGCCATTGGAAAAAACGGAACCAAAACAATCGGCCAACCCGACCAAAATCGCACAGCCCAACCGACGGGAACTCAGGCAAGTGCGCTTGTCTGGGCTTTTTTTGGTTCGAAATCTTATCACAGCACTGGCTGTTGACTGTTGTTTTTGAGCTTTGCTGGAAATAAAAATTGCTGGCGATAACATTTAGGCAATTTCACTGGTGTGTCCCTCTTTTCTGGCCCGGTTCAGTTCTCCGGGAGCAGCTAGCTCATCCCGTCCACATATGTCAGTTGTTCGAGTGTCAGTCGTAAATTGGAATTGTATCGAATAGAGGAGATGGACTTCTGATGACGCCCGCTGCAAGTATCTCCAAGTGCTGACTGTGTATCTTTGGCTATATGGGCCACGTATCTACTAGTTCATGTACAGCAAGTAAACACTTGGAGAAAAATAGTCTAAAGAAAATAGATTGGGGAAGTTTTATATATTTCGTAAAAAGAAAGTCTTATATTGAAAAATGTGAGAACATAAGAAAATGTTTTTTTTTATGTGAACACCGTGTTGCACCGAATTGGAAAAATAAGAAACAAAACAAATGTCAAGATATAATGGTAAAGTTTGGAATTTCCGAATTAAAAAAATCTTTTATCGTTTTTTTTTTAAAGAAACTTTTCATCAATCAACTTAAATTCCTTGGTTCTGATTCCGTTTTTAATCAATAAAGCATCAGTATTATAAAATAAGAAACTTCTTCAGGTTGGCAGGACTCATTTTGTAATCAACAAATAAAATCTGGAAGGATCTGAAGGATCACTCAGTTCTATTTTTCTATTTTCTAAAAAAATCAGTATGAAAGTTTAAATCAACCTTAATCTGGTTTGGTACTCGGAAGTATTGTTTAAAAAATTTTCTTGAAAAAGTTTTGCATTTTATTATGAGTGTAGATTAAATGCATATTGATTCGTGTCGCGAGCGGCCCGTTATTGCGGAGCACAACTGGAGTGAAAGTTTCACTTGTGCGGTATCCACTGTACACGAGATAATGGCTCCCCCAACACTCAGATATAGTAACCCATACAAACGCATGATATATGCGAACATTTTTTACTTTTCTGCTGTATTGGGTCGCGTTTATCAATGTAACGAGTCGCTGCCATCCTTTGGCGATGATAAATTGACAGATTGCACTTGTCCAACGTTTTCGTTTTAGTACTCCGCCGTTTTCAGATACTGCTGAGGTCACTGTCACTTTAGATGGGGAAAATGTCCGATTCGATTGATCGCAGACAAGTCTGAAATTCTCAGTTTTACGAGCCGAACGCCTAAATGAAATTTTTACAAAGCGTGTTTTGATGTATATTTCTTCTCGACCCAACTTAAAATATTAAAATCGTTTTGTAAATTATTCAAAATATGGTCTTTTTATTTGTATTTTAATGCACATTATAGTCCCCTTGTTCCAATAACCTTTAAGTGAACGAAATTCAATGTTAAATATCAGAAGAATAATTAACCTCGAGCATTTTAAATTGTCACTCTACTCTAATAAACGAGACTCTTGAAAGTGACACAAATTCGTAACATTAGCACTCGAAAGATACAATCTCTCAACATTAGCTTGGTTTTCTCATCTTCATACTCTTTAAAAATAAAGTGTGGAAATAAATGATAAGAACACAGATAATGTGAAGATTATGACAGTTAACAACAGTGCTTTTATAGGTAAAAATTTGAAGGAACTGAATATTAAAATCCAAATTAATCAAATACAATAAATACATTACCTACATATTTGGAGCAAACCAAAACCAATTCCAAATTTATGAACGGTTAGAGAAATTGTATTTGATTTCAGAAATAGGGAAATCCCAAGTCAATTCTTCGAAGCCCCATTGAAACTTGGGAGCTTTATTTCTGTTTATTTTCATTTTATATTTACTCTTTCACAGTCCCAAGTTTCTTATACACCCATAAGTTAATTGTTATTGGCATTTGAAAATTGCCGAAGTAGGGACTTTGGGGGTGTTGATAAGCGATCCGAACCTCAATGAGTGCTGACTGCGCGAATTACCCGACTTTAATCAGTTTATTAACGCCCGTTTCCACACTTTTTTTTTGTTTTTCAGGGGTTTGAAGTCCGTTGGCTTCGGAATGTATTCCACCAAGGAGACAAAGAGCGCTGCAAAGGCGCAGAAAAAGACGCAAAAGGTGAACAAGAAGCAGCTAACGAAGCAACAGCAGCCATCGCTGCCAAATGGCAATAAAGTAAAATCACCAGCGAATGCCAAGAATACCCAGCCAAATAATAACAATAATCAAACCAACATCAACAACAACAATAACAACAGCAATATAGTGCCGAATAATAATAGCAAAAATAACACGTTGCCCGCCAACACAACCCAGAAATTCCGGGAGCACTACGAAGCGGAAAAGAGAAACCAGGGACTGAAAATGGGCGCCACCACCTTACCGGGCTACGAAAATGTGCCCAAAATGGAGCGATCCAATAGCTTTTCGTTGCGCAACAAGCTCTCCAAACTCATCAATCACCTGACGGGCAGCAAGGAGAATCTATCGAGGACCGATGACGATGGAGACTCCAGCCGGACACCCTATATATTCACCCGAAGCCGTTCGATGATCCAGATGAGGCGGCCAAATCGCCGGAGTTTCATCGAACCGCAATTGGAGCAACTATCCGAGGAGACGGAGAAATCGGGGGACCTCACCTCCCCAGCTTCGCCGCGGAAGACCTCTGTGGCTGACTTCCAGGTGAGTTCGCCGGTGCTCCTGCGAAGGACTGAACTTACGGGATCGGTGAGGACCCCGGCACGTCGTCAATCCGCCCAGCCCTTCACCTCGACTCCTTTGGAGGATGTGCAGACGCAGGCTCAACGAAAGGGCTCCTTGATGTCGCTGAATCAAACGGAGCCCACCAATCCCCAGCTGAATTTTCAGAAGCGACGATCCAACACGCTCATAGCTTCCTTCAAGAGCACTTTTTCGGGACTCACTGGCAGCAGTGGTGGGGCGGAGAAGAAGGAGAAGATGAATCCCAAGTGGAGCGCCTCCCTGCAATCCCTGCAGGCCATCGATAACATGGTCAGCTACGCCAACATGTCCTTCATCGACTACGATAAGTTCAATGGCTACGAGAAACAGCTGGAGCGACAGCAGTCGCTGATGAGTTTGGTGGAGCAGCCGGTGCCCACCACCAACCAGCTGCCACTGCCTCCTTCGGCCTTGGCCCACTCCCATTCGCCCTCTCCTCTGAGGGAAGCTTCTCGCACGTCCGTCCACCTGGGCTCCTCCTTGGATGAGTCGGTCAGGACGGTCGTGATGCGCCGCAAGAGGAGCAAGACCTCCCTGGAGGGCAGGAGCAAGACATCCCTTGAGGGCCGGAGCAGCATGGCCAGCCTGAACAGTGCCTACAACCTGGACACCGACTACGAGCACAACCTGGACCGCGTGCACAATGTCTATCGGGAGAGTCTGGACTCGCGGACACTGGAGCTGCTGAATCTGCGATCGCGGAACTCGTTCATCCAGGACCAGGCGGTCCTGTTCGATGCCCTCAATCTGGAGGACGGATCCGTGGCGCGGCGGTGCGCCTTGTGCTCCAAACGAGTTGGGCAGGAGTGGCAGCATGCGGCAGCAACAGCAGCGGGAACGGGACGCCGTGGACGGGCAAGGGAATCCAATAAAACAGGTGAGTTCAGCCCTTCTATTATTCTCAAATTCAAAAAGATGAAATGAAAAGGCTATTGAAATTGTGGCAGTATAGAAGCACTCTTGAAATCTATAGAAAGCTGCAAGCCCAACAATTTTTAAAGCAACTAGGTGATCAGAACAGCTTACCCTAAAACATTATTTCTACCACCGAATGAATTTTAAATGCATTTTCGAAACTTATACTCTCTAAAGCTCATCTCTCTCTCTAAAAATTGATTTCAAGAATTCCCTATATTCTGAAGTGCCTCGGTAAGAGTGACTAAGTTAATGACCTTTTGTTTATTTAGTGATATTACCGCTGCACTTGTAAAACTCTTACATCGATTCCATTTTAAGTGACTCATTATTATATGAATTATGGCTATAGCTTACCGATAAATACAGGGGCTTACTCAGAATGTTCAATGTTTCCGTGAAACTTTTTCCCCTTCGACTTACTGCGGAAGTTCCATGGTTCGTAAGGGGATTCGTCTTAAAGCGTCATCGATTTGGTTGAACAGCTCATGAACTTTGGTTTCTTATCAAAGAAATGAGTGTATTAATGGAACTTCTTCATATGTTGTGTGATACCGCCCAGTATAACTGCTGCAGCTGCAGTTCTTCAGCAATTCAAATATTTGCTAATTTAGATTCTTTAAATGGACATTTCATTCTTGGGTAATGTTACTAAAATTTATAAAGGTTTTTAAATTATCTATCAAAACGTTAAGTTTTGATTTATGGATCTTAACAACATGCACAGACATTATATGAACTAAAAATGTCTTACCAAGTTTCTGAACTTTAAATGTTTGTCTAACTATTATTACAGTGTGTACTGTAAGTTTTTTGACCATCTTAAAATTTTATAAAACTTTATGACTAAATCAGCTGCTTTTTTTTAAGTGTGTGGGTTTTAAAATCCCGTTCAACAAAATGATCAAGAAAATTAACTATATACATACCTTAAAATGTATTATTTTCATTTGACTACGCTGTGTTTTGTATATATGTATATACCAAACATGTAAGACCAACAAAAGCAATAACTTTTCTCACAAGCTAATTTCGCCAAAATCCCCAATTATTCCCCAAATGGACAAAAACTTGTATCCGTGGCATGGTCTTAACTATTTGTATTTGCCAAAATTGGGATGTGAATATTGGTTGAAAAAATTAAACAGTTAGTGTATAGTAGAGCGACAATTGACCCTTGCGAACGTCATTTTATAAAAACTAATTTGAACTTAAATCGATCTAAGTATAAAGACAAATGTGGATGTGTTCATTGGGCGATTGCGATTGATTTCCCCGTTTCTTCACTGCGTTACTTTTACTGCGTGTAGTCGGTGTCGCCCTTCGAATAGTGTATGCAGGCCAGAACGGTATCCAGCAGATACAGTGCGCCCTCGATGACGCACAGCGATCCCATGGCAATGCCCACCTGGCGCTCCGAGTTCACATACAGGAATCCCTCGTCGGACATGTAACCCTTCCAGTAGTGCAGGGCCACTCCGCCCACGGCGATCCACATGATGCAGCCAACCACGTTCATGATGGTGTCACAGAGCTCTCTGAAAAAATAAAAATCATAGTTAGTTACAAGTTGAAAATTTTATGAGGTTCCAAAAAAATACAAAAACATCGTAGTGAGATAACAAGTTGTATATTTTATATGGAACAAACAAAATTGCGAGTTCAACAGTTGATACTTTAGGAATAACATTTTCTTATGTGGTTTCATGATACCATTTTTGAAACTGCTGATCATTTTTGAATAGTTAGGGTACTAAATATTTTTTAACTTAGCTCTTTGCATTTGAGATCTAGAATACCACTAATCGTAGTCCATATTGATATGACGATTTTGACAATGGGAAAATGTGAAAACCTTGAGCTTGCTACATTATGTTTTGATAATTTCGTAAAATTCCATTGACTTACCCCTTGTGTTTGGTGGTTCCAAAGGCGTAGGCAATCGTGTGGCATCCAGTGTAAATCAAAAATCCAACCATAACGCCCGAGGCCACGATTTCCGCATCGGCGCTCTTCTCCTCGTTCAAATTCCAAGTGCCGCCAATGCCCAGGAATTCTCCGCCATCGCCCCACCGGTACAGGAAGATGATCACCAGGTTGATGATCTGCAAAAAAGGGACGCAGGAGAGCAATGAGGTCACGTATTCTGCGAATGAATCATATTCCAGCCACGCCTCGCCGTACACCATGGCGTATGAGTAACATTGCTAATACGCCAGGCCTGATAAAACGCGGGCTTATCAGGCAAGTTATTGCGACTACGACTACCCAGGGCATTGCTCAATTTGTGTGGGGAAAAAACACCCAAAACTTACCAGCTTCAGGGCCTTGATGAAAATAGAACCGACGGTCTCCACGGACACCATTTCGCACTATATGCTGATTTTGCTTTCGTTTGGCTGGAATTTGAGGGGAATGCTTTAGTTTACATACGACACTCCGAAGGCGTTTTAATCAATAGGCACTCACAATCTTTTCTGTAATTTTCACGCGGAAACTACAACAAATGATTCGTGTTCGTATCGTTGTCGTTCGTCGACTAAACTGAAAGTGTCTCTGAAAGGCAACCTGTTGCCCGCCCAGTTCGTATTGTCGCCAAGAATTTGTAGCTTTTGCAATCTGAGCATACACGGTCAGCGATAAGATAAGGAATCCGGCGATAGCGATAGCAGGTGCGATCCGAAATGGGTTACTAATTGGCTGGCGGTTCCCCTGAGGTTGGTAGAACAAGAAACCCATATGCGCATGCGCATGCGCCAGCCCCACCCGCGTATCTTATCGCTCGACATTATCGCGGTTCGCCGCCTTACATCGCGATATCAGGTGCCCTGATTTGCTGTTTCTCGCAGCATTATTAAACATTATTCATGGCGGCCACAAAGCCACAAAAGTGGAAAACAAAAGCTGGGGCTCCGGAGAGGCCGGAAACAGTTTTTCTTGCGTCATCAATGGATTTTCGAAACACTTTGGGGTGAGCCATAGGTCTGGCATTCCCCCCGATAACGACGGTTCCCCCGTAATGCCTGTAATGCATCCCCAAACCTTGAAAATCCTCTGACCTTGTCGCACTTCATTGATCGATAGCCCACATTGATTATATTCATTCTCGCCACTGATTGAAAACTCTCACACTCGAGTCATTGGAACTAATCTGCATTTCAATTAACTCAACCCTAGCACAATAATCATAGCCCATGTTCGAGATTTCGAATCAATTGGAACATCACAATGCAAAATAATAGCGACAATTGGCGAGAGTGAAACCTCGTTTGCGGTTGGCATGTGGGACCCCTCGTATATAAAGCTACTTATTATAGTAAACCGGGGAATAATTGTTTTTTTTCGAGCTGTAGGATGAATGAGTGGTTATATGAATTATTAAAAAAATATTTATAATATAATTTAATGAGCTTGTATGCGCGTATGTTTATACATGCAATTTATAAGATTTTTATTTTTTTTTTTGGCAGTTTTGAGTCAACGATTCTTTTGTATTTAATCTTGTTTATTGTTTTATACTTAATATTAGAAACTAATATAAAGATAAAAAATTCTTCACTTAGTTTAAATTAAAAAGAACATTAACTGTTGAATTGAAAATATTAAATAAATTCGTTTTTCATTGTTCAATGTCACCAAAACTATTTCCTCGAAAATATTGCACAAAAATATGCATAGATTTGGTTTTTAAGAGCGTGTGAAATTTTACTGCACTCGTGTGAGCTGTTTTATATTTATAAGCACCATTAAATTGTACATGTATAAATCATAAGTTCAGAACATGAAACGAACATGACATCACACCTCGTCAAGAGGTTTTTTTATGACCTGCCATTGAGTAGCAAGTATACACACAGATCCACGAGTACTATATATCTATATATAAACAAGTATAATTTACTCAGTGCGAGGCATTATTGGGTTTCATTCGGATGCTGAGTAACCGGAAGATTATGGAATATCAGTTCTGAGCTGTCCAAAATTACAACGTAGCAAATCTTTTTTTGTTCTTAAAGTTTAACTTGGCAAATTAATGTTTTTAATTCTATACATTTTTACGGATTTTATCATAAAAAGGTCATAAAATTCTATAATCATTAAAATTCTAAAGGAAATTCTTTTAAAAGCTAAAGCCTAAACAAATATCAAGGTCATTTTTATAGATTCCGCTTTTGCAAAATAATAAAACGAAGCTAGATTAAATGTTTACATAGTCTTTACTTTGGGGCTTTAAATGTTTTGCCTATGTATATTATAAGATTACTTTCGTCGAAGGAAGAAAATTAAACATTGAAAAATTTGTATGTTTCTGTTAATTGTGTGAATCAAAGATTGAACTATTTGTTTCAGAATAAATTAAAATGTTGAATGGGAAATAAAGAAAAGTGTATGTGTATATTCAAGAATCTAGATATAGCTTTGCATTGCATTACCAATGCAAATTGTCTGGTGCCTGAATAAGTAAAGGAATTTCTTTCCAAATCAAGGCCGGAGGTTGCAGTGTTCTTTCTTTAGGCTTCTTCACCGCCGTTCCCCTTCCGATTCCTCCTTAAATACTCAAATCTCACATCTCCATGGAGTCCCAGAAAAGTCTTTAATTTTGGAATTTGTCTCCTCTGCGTTCGCTGTCGATGAATCATTTGGCAGAGAAAGAGAGCAGAGAATTGCGGTAGAACAACAAAAACCGGCATGCAACCGCCACCAATACAAGTGCAGCTCTTGTTTGGAGCCCGCTCTCTCCGTTTACGGGGAATGGAGTGAGGGAGAAAAGAGAATTGACTTCGTAACCACCAGCTTTTGTGTGCCAATTGGCGCCAACTGTACACTATTAAATGTGATGAGACATAGATATTGGGTTATATGCAAAAATATAGTTTAAAGAAGTTTTTGCATATAACGGACATTTTAAATAAAAATTGAAGTATAACAAAATATATAACGTAGTTATTTTAAAAACAAGATCAAACAGCGATAAATGTTAAATCAAAAAAAGTAAAACTGTCATTAACTTTTAGAACGAGCTTCAGTTGATAACAAAATTGTCTATAAATTTCTTTGCATCTCTCATAATATAACATAAAGAGGTTGATTTAAAGTGAAAAATTTCCGGATGAATTATCCTTTTCCAGATTTGGCTACAAACTAGCCAACTTGTCAGTCCTGCAACTAAAGCGTGCCTTCCAACGGGTGTTGTAACAGTCAGATATTAACAGCGCCACTTAACATTACCGAGCATTACAGCTATGTATAATGTATCTCAACGAAGAGTATTTACCAGATACTCGCGAACACATCTGTAAGTTACGTATGATTATTTGCACACCTTTTGGGGAGCACTTACCTGCCATATTTGGACTACCTGGCGTCAATGAGGTGTGACAGCGATTTGGTAATGAGATTTTCGAACCGCTCTCCGTAGGCGTATTTAAATTAATTGGCAGACAATCGAAAAGTGACTCAGAAAATTGCAGATAAATAAACACATGGCATCAGAGCTTTTCGATTTTGTTTTGATTATTATTTGATTTCGCCTCTTCTTTCGCCGGCTGCGTTGTTGTTATTTATGAATGAAAGTTTCGTTTGTTTACTTTTGCGCTTTTGAGCGTGCGCACAAAGCTCTCTCTTCCGAAGAGCGAGAAAAAAAGAGAGAGAGAAGGAAAGTGAAAAGTGAGAGTAAAGAGAGTGGGCGAGATGCTTATCACTTGAGTTCAAAACACACACTATCGCAAATTTAAAAGTTTTCGCCACTCTACAAATTGCCGTAAACTTATATGCGGCAACTCTGAAAATTTGAAGAGATTTACGAGTTATTTGGTACTAGACTTTCAATTAATCTAAATGTGTTGTTGAACACACAATATCTTCAACCCCGCTATTTGCTGTTAACTTTGAAATTGACGAAAATGTATTTGGCCAGAATTTTATGACATTTGCTCAACGCTTGCATTCATATTCATAGAATTATAGACAAGCACAGCGGCAGTTAAAATAATAAAATTATGGCATAGGTTAGTTAACATCAACATTAAAATAAATGTATTTGCAATTTGAATTGGTTTTATTTTTAATATTTTCAAGAAAGTTAAAGTTATTTTTTTATAAATTGGAAGATGTAAGTTTTACAATAGTAAATATTTTTTAAAAATTGAAAGAATGGTTGATAATCAAAGGTCGTTCATTGATTTTTTTATAAAATGCAGAAAAGCTTTTAAATACTTGGTATAAAACCAGACAATTATTTCTTTAATTAATATAAATAGTTTTAATTTGTTTATCAACTATTTAATGTGCCTAACAATTCCTATAAAAATATGTTACACTTAATTTTATCCTACTACCCCAAATATATGTATATCATTTAAGAAAAATATTTTGAAACATCAGGAAAAAAAATAATTGTATTTAGAGTGCTATTATTCCATCCACAACTGTGCCAGTACAGTCATAGACCTATGCGTGGGTCTGGGTGGATGGGGGCCTTGTTTAACCAGACCGACTGCCGAACCCCATCTTCGTGTCGTTATCCTTATCAGGCGAGTGTTGTGGCAGCCTTCTCTGCTGCCTTCGTGGTCCTTTAAACGAGCGGTCGGCGTCGCAGTCGCCTCAGTTCGTCGGCAGCCGTCCCACAGTGCGGATGACCCAAAGCGGACCGCCGACCGCCGACCTTTGACATCAAGTTCGCTCGCGTTCGCGATTTTTGCCGCGCTGTCACCGCGGTTTTGAACGCTTTCGATTTGTTCTGTGTTGGTGCCGTAACTCCGAGCAAAAAAATATACTAAAAACAGAGTAAACAAGGCAGCAAGAGTTACATGACTGAATAACGTAAAGCCTCCTCGTTCGACAACAAATCAATCAATGAAAAATGTATACCCGCTTTGCTGGATGCACCCACGGTAAACAAGAGCTCAAACATAGTATGATTGTTTGTTTGCAAACATCGGATTCGTTACCAGTCCGATTTTTGGGAGACAGTGCGTTTCGCAACTAAGTGAAATTTGCATACCAAAGTGTAGGATAAACCCCAAAACCCGCACTTTAAAATGGGTTGCTAAGCAAAAAACCACTTCGAAACCAATTCTTAACAAAACAAGAGAATTGGGCTTAAATTAAGTTTTTTGTTTAGAATGTTTTGGGGCTAAGTTAATTTAAATCATTTCAAGTTAATTTCAATATAAGTTAAATGAATTTTATAAAATTTGATAAATAATCCTTAAACTGGATTTAATGAGAAATTCGGTTTATTTCTTAATGTTTCATTTAACTTAAAATAACAAGATATAAATATTAATTTAAAATCTCCGAAAATTGTGGTCACATAAATCTGTTTAATTGCTTCTAAAAATGAGGCTTATAATTCTGAAACGCACTGTAAGGTATCAATGGTAGATGTGTCACTTATCCTTGTTTGAATTCAATCGTATGTTGTCCTTGATTCTGGCGTTTGCTTGGATGACTTTAAAAGGGGATTTCTATCTAATAATAAAAAATATTCAACGATTATTTAGCTCAAACAGTGTTACTTTTATTGAATGAACGAATTCATTTGTTTACACTACGACGCGGAAATGCGTTATATTTCCGCAGAATAGCTTGCATTCAATTTAAATGTCCGAAGGAAAAGCGAATGAGGAAATGTGGCCATAAAAATTCAATGAAATCATTTGTTTGAATGGCTTACATTCTTAATGAATATTATGGACTGCCATTGACTCGTTTTCATTTAATCAGTGTAACCATTTAGCATATGGTAATTGAATCGATTCGAACATGTTGTTGTGATTATTTCTTTAAAATGAAACTTTATCTGAGAAAAAATAAAATTTTAATTAGTTGTAATTTATTGTTTAAAACTTCAATATTGCCGTGCTTTTTATATTTGGGTTATTTTATATTTTCATTTAAGTAACTGCTTCTATTTGAAATTGACTTGAAACTAAAACACAACTTTAAATAGCTGAACCTCCTGGTTTAAAAATGTTCGATTAGCAATTAAAAAAATAATCAATTTATACTTCAAAATTCGTAACTGGGCCTACTGGTTAATAAAAATTACTTTTTAATGTTTAATCAAAGCTGATAAGGTTTAATTATGAAATGCTTCATAAAATCTGCTTCACGTTAGCTGTGTTTCTTAATTTTTATCGCTTTTGTACTTATGTGAATTTAAAAATCTTAAATTGTCCCGAGCCCTGTAAAGTATTAAGTTTTATCTCCCATTATATCTCCTCCAAGCCGTGGATTAATGTTTGCCTCCACAAGGAATTGCTCTCGGCATTTATTTCTCTGCGACAGAGATTTGTGAATTTGTAATGCTTAACATACTTTCGGGCATAAAAAGTACTAGATAAATGTAATCATGGCGGAGCGTTTCCTTTATTGGAAACACAAAAGCGAGTGGAAGGCGATGCCTCCTGCCCCAATGCCTTTTTTTTTGGCCCCCATCGGAGCCTTCAAATATGCATAAACTAATTTTGGCTTATGCAACATACTTCTCGTCCAGGCCCACGGCATCGATGCTGCTGAGCCCCCCCTCCTGCTGTAATATTCATTACCTAGCCAGCCAGCCCATATGTGCACTCCCCGTCCGCCGCTGAAACATTTAAATGCTAATAAATTTCGTTTATGAGCGAGAGCCGTGCTGGACAGCCGTGCACTTGGAAAAATAGTTTGGTTTCTTTCTTTCGAAAAAATTCAATCAATGTTGTCTGGACTAAAACTTAAATATTATATGCATTTTATCGCAAATTTATGGTATTGTCCACCTTAAGTTCCTTGCTATCTCAGCTTTTGTTTACTCGAAATTTAAATGAAAACTGTGTATCAAAATTTAAAATTGGAAAATGCTTTAATCCATTAACAAAAGGATTTACTTACATTGTATAGTCCTGTGACGAAACAAAGCCAATCTCGAATTTTGTAATTAACAACTATTATTCAGGCACCTTGGTTTAGAATCGAAGTCTTTATTTTGTGATTAAGCAAAAGGCTATTATTGGTAAAATAATTCTCATTTTGGTTATCAAAACCAAAACATGTACCTGTCTCCGGAAATTAAATAAATAAAAATTACCTTAAGTAAGTCTTCACACTTTAAGTTGGCAGCGGTGCCTTAGCTAGTTTTCCCGGAGGAAATATATTGATCAATCAATCTATTTTTTATAAATTTGTACTATGTTTTATTCTCATTTTTATGTGTGAATAATTAAAGTAGGGCAGTGGTTTAGATTTGTAATTAAGATAAAGCTTGGGTTTGTTGTTACTATCGATAAAGTCTGTTTTTAAATTTTACATAACATGTCTTTAAAACACTGTTTAATTTTTCGACCCGAATATTGTTAAAGAACCGAAATGTGAGCCCTACTTGGCAGAGGTCATCAAATGACACGAGATGTAATTCTTTGAGTGTAGAAACTGGGACAGGTCTCCGATGACGTTCGTGCTAGGCACTCGTCGTGACGTCCGGGCTCCGAAAAAAAGGTGCAAAGTCAGGTGGGGACGGGAAGGAACAGGGATCCTGCCCAAGGAGGAATCCTCCGCGTTGCCAGAAGAAGAAATGGCCACGGGAAATGATTTATGGCTGCCAGCGCTCGCTAAGGCTGCAAGCCAATTCCATTCCTCGGTTTGTTTGGTCATCCGCTGAATGTTCGCCGGATGTGGGAGCCAACACAAATAGCTCCAAGATTTGTCGAATGCGTCGGCTGCTGAATATTTGGTGTATTGTGTTTGGAGTATGGTGGGTGGTTGGTGGTAGGTGGTGTATGTGTGTAAGCCATGGAGCGTCATAAATCAATTTTAATGTGAAAATTATTGCCGCATACTTTTGGGTTGTTGTCGGGCATTTTTCATAAACAAAACATAACAGGAATTTGTGTAAACAGGAATGAGGGCGGATTCCTAGCCATTTTGTTACACATGTGACACCTTAAATCCATAGCTTTTAAAGGCTCGGCTTGAATTATTTTACGTTTTAAGATGCTGCATCTTTTCGTTCGTAAAACATTTAATTTTATATCTGATTACTTTATTTCAATTAGGCTTAATTATGCTATAATGTATATCTTCTTGTAACGAACGAATACTTAATGGCTGATCATTATTACTAATTTTACGTAATCAACGTTCTTTACTCATGCTAAATTTTCTTTCTTTTCAGGTAATTGAACTTTTTTATCTTTGAAATGGTGCTATTAAATAAGACAACTGTTCAAATGTAAGTTTTAAGACCTTGACAAATTATCTGCCTATTTACGAGGCCAAAATTTCCTCTTAAGATAACAGAGAAAAGTCGATGCAAAGTTTGCAACGGAAGCTGCACACGCCTTTGAACATTTTCTTTTCAGCCTCTTTGGGGGAAAATTATTGCTTTTCCCTTTTTCTTGGCCAGCAAAATAAATATCCAAAGTTCAGGGCCTTGGAAAACTTTAATGAATGCACCCACATTTCTGCGAAATGAAAAAACATATTTGACTGAACCATTGACTTTGTGGAAATATGAATTCAAAATTAATTTTTTTAATACTTGTGTCAAATTAAGTTTAACTAATTTAGTTCCTTGAAATTATTTTAAACATTCGTTTTAAGTTTCCCCTACATTTTCACGTGAATTTTCACCAACCAGCTTTGGATAAAGTTTATTTTAGTCTTGTTATCTTATACGTTTTTATCTTCTGCTAAAACTTTCAATTTCCACGTACGTGTCACCTGAAGTTTTCTGCGTGCGGGGCCAAAAGAACTTCAATTTAACATGCCACAAGTTTATGAGCTTAAATTTAAGAGCTTGGAAATTTGAAAGAGAAAATTCGGTAGCAATAAATTGGCTAAAATGCGGCAAACATGGATTGCTTCTTCACTGCAGCATAAAATATATTTCGGCAATAAATCCAATCGAATTTGGGAAAGAAAAAAGAGAAAAACTTATTTTGTTAAATGGCTGTGTGACTGGAAAGTATTTTCTTTCAACTGCTTAAGAGAGAATGTTACTAACTGTGTTTTTTCTGTACTTTATTCCATGATTGCCAATTTAACTGAATTAAGTATCCCTCAAAATAGCTTCACTAGTCCTTTAATTAACGATTCAAAGGCTCAAAGCTAGAAAATCTCGAAAAATACGTATTTTGCTTTGTGACCTTCGCTGTTATTGATTTAAAGTAGGAATTAAATCCTTAAGTTCGCTTTCAACAAAGCAGGGCCCCTTCTGCTGTCTGGCGCAAAGCCATTTCAGAGCTATTTCTTGAATTAATCTCCTTGGAATGCTCCTGGCCCAGCGTGCCACATCCTTCGCAGGACCCAAACAGACAACGACAGGTGAGCGGTGAAGAGGCGGCCAAGTGGTTCCCCAGAAAACCAATTTGGTCATTATCTGAACACATAAATCAAAGTCAGTGCAATTAGCGCCCAGGTAGAAGTCCATTTTAAAATTAATTAAACCGAAAACAAATCCACAAAACGAACCGCACGGAGCCCACACACAGCCGGATCCGGATCCGGACCCGGACCCAAACCCGGAGTCGAAAATACAGAGACGGACGGGGACCGCAAGCCAACAACACGGGTGAAAATCGAACGCTCTTCTCCGGAAGCGATGGCCAAACATGGGACAGAAACAAATGGAAAACTCCTGGCTGGTTGAATTACAAACAAGCACCAGGATGGATTTCCCGGTGAGTCTGATTGCTCACTTTTGTGCCGTTGACGAGGGCGCGGAAAAGTGCAATACGACCACATTTCGAACTTTCTAAATAGAAACCAATTACCTTCGCACTGATACCAGGAAAGCCAAATGAAAATGTTTCATTTCTATCGCATAGATTTGTTATGTTGACTTCTTTTTAATAAGAAGTATGAGCCTTTATATTGCAGTAGACAATTGTATAGTTGCCTTTTTAAATAAAAG